AGAATCTGAACTTTTTAGCAAAAATAGGGTCAACTGTGGGCCCCTTTTATTCCAATTTGACTCTTTATTTCACACTAGGCTATTTTTTTAATTTTCCAACTCTTTTTTTATCCATCTTTAGAAACAGTTGCCTGTGTTCTCTTACTAATGGTGAAGGAGGTTCATCCAAGTAGCACTTCACACCCAAACACGACCCAGATGAATCACCCCTTCATAAACTGACAAATGGAGCATATAGAGGCCACTTTGCTAAATAAAGGAAAACGCATTGGGGCAATTGTAAAGGCATGTATTGGATATATATATTTTTGTTTTATTTGCACAATTCATCATTAACAGAACATTTCTATCTTATATCTTAGCCAGGCTGGAAAGCTTTCTCCAGAAGAAATAATCTGTTATTCTCAGCCCGGAAACATTTGGGAGATTGTTGGAAATTATTGCAGCTTCAGTCTTTTATTGCTGTGACTTTGTTGACCTTAACTTCTTGAATCCTAACCCCAATTGCTAACCATTGCTGTAGCTAAAAGATGCATTTGAGAAAGCACGAAAAAAACATTTTTGAGTTTATTTCAAGCTGATCAAATTCAGGAAGACAAAATGCTCTAAATTAAACCCAGTTATGCAGCAGCAACCTGGTTTAAGGGGTGGCACACTTATGTTATTAGGTAATTGCAGCTTTTTTATTTTTATTTTAATATTTCCTCCATACAGATTTGTTTTCACTACTTTATCCATGATAAAAAAAGGAATTTAAATACTGTAGTTGTTAAACATCAGCAACAACTCTCTAGTTCAGCGTTTGTCCAATGTATTTTAAACAGAAATGTTAACTGCTTGATTTCAGATGCAACCTTTACCCACTGCAACTAAAAAAACTAAAATGACAAGGAAGAGAAAATAAATGACATGCAGACAGGTTTAAAAATATAGATTTAAGTTTATTGCACATCGTTGCTGGAAACTGAGGAGTTGAGAGCCTGTCTGTTACACAGGATGCTAAACGGTGGACAGACATGAGGACAGCAGTGCTGGAACAAACTGGGTGTCCTGTCAATAAGCACACAGTCACAGTGGGAACGCATCCCGTCAGTGCAACATCTGAGTAGAACAAGTTTCATGCTTGCATGGGTTCAGCAGGACAGTCTCTACACGCACATGATCAGAGAGGGTATAACGAGCTAAAGAAATGACACATCATCTGTTTTGGCTAAATTATGGCTTCAGTCAGTGCACACGAGGTTCCACCAGGTGGAGCCAAACTCACTTATAAGAAAAATGTGGAGAAGCAGCAGATAAGACGGGACTATAACAGACAGACCCTCCTGAAAGCTCCCTTCATCCTAACAGACAGGGTTTCCCTTATTACATAAGCACAGGACTGTGCAAAAGTTTTAAACCCCCTTTCATTATTTTGACAAAAATCAAACTGGTCCCTATCAATTGTGTGGGATTTATAAAATAAGAAAGAAGTCCTCAAAAGTTTTCTGTGGAGTTTTGCTGCTGATTTACACATTTCAAGTCAAGTTCAGAGTGGATTATCAAGAAAAGTAAGTTACCCTAAAAATAGGCTAAAATCAAGTTTAAAAAAAGCAGCTCGGGTCCATAAAAAACCTTTGATAAAGACCTGGATGAAAACTTTGAAAAATGACAAGAATTTGTGACTTCTTTACAGAAACATGTAAAGAAATAGGGGAGACCCAAGACTTTTGCACAGTTCTGTAGACCAGTGTCAAAGTTCCACGGAATGACAGTTATAATAATAATTTTTAAAAATACAGATAATTCCTTATAAACAGGTTGTTAACAGGCTGTCCGGCACCTGTGACATTTAAAAAAAAATAGTTTTGTTAGTAATGTTTTTTTTTTTCCCATTTGATCTTACAGACAAAAGAACAAACACAAGCCTTCTGACCAAATGTTTCCCTTCTTCTGCCTGTTGTGAGCTGCGTAGAGCAAACAGACTTGTCTAAAGCTGGCAGGTGGAGCCCGGTTTCAGACAGCAGAGGTCAGGCCTCGGAACGTTATGGCACCCTGATGTTGGAGTGAGGGGATCAGAGTGCCGGTTCTTACATGAGCTTGGCGCAACCTTTGGCTGATAATGCATAGATTGACCGGTGGAAGTCAGGAGGTATCTGCATGCCCACCAGGGAAGTCATAAATGTCTCACTTGGGTCTAAAACTTGGGATACACTTTGAAAGCGGCTCTACATTTAGCATCCAAACAAATTGAATGATCTTTTCTGATCTTTACATATATATGGACACAGCTAAGCAAAAACATTTTTGATACTGATATCTATAGCGCAGCAGTGAAGCCTATTCTGCTTCTGAAATAACCTCCTCTTTGTCCTCTCTGAACTGTATGCTCATTTAATCTACATACAAGTATTTACATTAGCTTTATGATCTAAAATGTGTTTATTCCCATCCAGAGCCCTTTAAAGATAAGTGATCAGTGCTGTGGGTTCCAGGAGAGACTCAATTATGATGAATAGATGACTGGCTAACAGTATGAGACATCCGTTTCTGTTTCCGAGCTACGTTCATGCAAAGTTTTAGTTTCATTCATCGGCCAAAATACATTAGTTTCTGCTTTACATTGCAAACTCTACTTACAGCAGGTAATAACAAGTATGGGGGGAGGTCCAGCAGAAATTAGTCTGACTGAAATTTTCAGGGAGTAGGGGAGGGGTGACATCACACTCTGAGTTTAGCTTGCGTGACAAACGACTCTGGGAAATCCGTCTTTCACCTCTGAGTCAGTGTCGACACGGGAAGCAGGGGGCGTCGCTACACCTAATCTGGTGAGAAGAAAAAAGTCTGTGACAGAGGGAGGAAAAAGGACTGCAAACGGCTTTGGCCTCTTAAACGGACAGGCTTCCTTCAGCCGTTCTGAGTAAAACAAACCCGTACAACTATTTATTTTAGCTGGATTAAACAGATAAAAAAACAGATTAAAACGGAGCTAAGAGTCATTATACGAGAACAGGGTGAGGAGACCCATTCCTGTTTACAGTAGTTAAGCCGGCAAAGTAAACAAGCTAAAAACATGTTAAAACAGAACTAAGTTACAGCTTAGTTTTAAAAGAAAGTGCAAATGATCATAAATCTCAGACATGGCTGGAGTGTATTCACAGAAAAAAAAAAAAACATAAAATTGCAATTAAGGGACTTTTTAGTGGCAGAAATGTAAACATATACCCACAGCAGGATACAGTCAGTTTTCCACAACTTATACATTACAGAACATATATAAAATTGTGTCTCTTAACTGATCTGATTCCCATACTAGTTTAGCAGATCAACAAATTTGCTTAAAAATAAATAAAACCCGAATAAATAGAGTAATAAATAGAGAAAACATTGTGTTCAGATTGCATTAGCAAGAAAACAAGATTTTTTTCCAGTCCTTTCGCCAGTTCTTAACGGACATCTTTACCTTTTACCTAAATAAGCATGCAAAAAGTGATTCAGTCCATTCTAACTTTTTAGAGTGCTTTGCAAAAGTGTTTAAATCTGTTGAAAAATCTCAAATTTTGTCACATTGCTCCCACAATCCTCAGGTTTTATTACTGGATTTTAAGTGATAAGATGAGCACAAAGTTATGGTTGACAGAAAAAAAGATGTATGATGTAAAGTAAATGTAAAGTATGGCGTGCATTTGTGTTAAACCCCTCTTTATCCTGATACCTCTAAGTTTAATCAGGATCAACCATTTGCTTTCAAAATTCCTCTCATGTGTGATTTAATGTCAAGTTTAAGCTAGTGTTGCGCCGATGCCATTTTCTGGCCCTGATACCTGGCTGTGCAGTATTGATACCATAATGATACCATCGGTTTGAAATTGATGTGTGTGTATATATGAAGAACTGCATACTACTTGGATGTAAAATAATTGCCATCATGGCTTTGTCAAGCTGCTGCCTACCTTTGTGAAGCAGGAAAAAGACTAATGCAAAGTGAATCCAGTAGAACTTTTTATTGCCTACCTGGAATGGGTGACAATTGTTGAATAAGCTTTTGGCTCTCAAAATGGTATCAGTGCCCTATTTGTTGGTACTCACCGATACCGATACCAACATTTTATCGCTGGATCGGGGCCCTGTCCGATACTGGTATCGGTGCAACGCTAGTTTAAAGGTAGCCCATCTTCCTTTTTGTTTTGTTAGTTCTTTCTTATTTTTACTTTAAGAAGGTTGCATTTTGGTTCTGCTGCAAGCTTGTAATTAGTTTTGCATTTGGGGTTTGCAGAACTAATAACAAGGGCTAAGGGCTGCACCGCGGCAGTTAGATCATTTATTAGTTTAATTAGTTAAATCTCTGCACCTGCATTTGCTCATTGTACCAATTTTCTTTTCTACTCATGTTTGAGTCATTTTGCCAAAAATGATCGGTCCCCACTCTATTCCCTGTGTCTCCTAGTCTATATTGTTTTAATTTACGTAATGTTCTGCACTTCCGTCCACAACAACTTAATCTGACATAATGAAGACCAAGAATAACCATAACTGACAGGACTGGGAATAACAAGCATTAATCTGAGCAATATAAAGATGGTTGAGGGAATTCTGAGGAGCTACAGAGATCATAATCTCAGGAATGAAGATCTGTTGTAGTTGTGCACCTGGCATGACCACAGTAAATTTACTGAAATCCAACTGCACTGACACGAAACTGAGCAACCACAGCATCTGGGTTCTTAAATCAATTCACTGACACAGAGTAGAGTTCATTTAAAACCTAAATATAGTAACAAATGTATAAGTATATTTATATACAGGTATGCATTTTAGTAGATAATAGGGCTGAAACAGTGAATTGAATTAATCTGGATTAATCGATTATTGAAATAATCGTCAACTAATTTAGTAATAGATTAATCGTCAACTGGAGTATAGAGACTCTAAAACATACCTTTAGCTGACAGAGCCACCCACTTAGAGCAGTAATTATACCAGGATTGTAAAACAAATATATAAACTTTTTGCATTTAAGGTTAAAAAAATGTTTTTTTATCTGTCAGTATGCTCTAACTAGAACTCCTAAAGTGGAAAAGTTTGAGTTCAACCTGTTTTTAATTCGTAAAAAGTCTTCTGTAAGGATCTTTGACTGACTGATTATTAGTCAATTAATCAAAAAAATATTCGACAGATTAATCGATTTACAAAATAATCTTTAGTCGCAGCCCTAATACACTGCACATGCTCAGGGTGGAGAGGTTTAGAGCGCATAAGGACAGAACAAACTAATGGTGAAAGGAGCTGAATAATGAAATATGCAACAGAATGGTGTAATCTTAAAACATTTTGAAAAATAAATGTTTGTATTCCTTTGAATTATTAACTCTAGCTAGGTTAAACTTAGGTCTATGGCAGTGATGTGATCAAATAAGAAAAATTCACACTTTTGCAAGGCACTGATATCTACAGACCTTCGTGAATGAAAGCAGTGCTTTAAGTATTCTAAAGGATGCAAAAGTTGTTCTGAATCAAGAGGAAGTGGAAAAGGTTCAAACTTTACTCAGTCTCAGGTTTAAAATTGGCCCAAAAACACAATTAGTAAACTATTTATTTTTCATTAATAATGCCTGAATGAAATGGCACTGAGATCCGTTGAAGATGAGTGTTTAACACTGCTCGGCGGTTGGGTAGTGTGAAGTAGACTCAGGAATGAACCCCTCACCCGTGTTTTTCCTCTGGGATGACTCCGGCAGCAGAGAACCAGGATATGGAGAAGCTGTGATCCTTTGCTGCTTCACGCAGCGACTCCAACATAAACGTTTAGCAGAAAAATGGACGTGAGAGGGAGTCCGACTGCGTGCTGTGATGTGGATGGGTTCAAGATATGAATGTGCTGCATAGGTAGCAACCGTGACATCTGAGAGCATCCACCAGATATCGTTTAAAACATCATCACCAACTTTAGGACTGTGGAAAAGTTTGAAATCATCCCTCAGTTCTTTATTATTTTTATCCAGCCAGTCAGATTTCCCTTTAATCCTTTAAAGATCAGCAGTGAAGAGGAGAAGCAAAAACAAATCCAAAGAAAGAGTCTGACTGGTTGGAGGCGAAACATTAAAAAATGTTTTTAATGAGGGACAATAAAAAACTTTTGCACAGAAATGTTCATGAGTGAATACTCAGTTAATAACTTTACTGTTTATATGTTTCCACTTCTCTGTGGCTGGAGTGGGAGTGGCTTTGTCCACATTTCTGTGCGTCTTGTTTCATTTATCCGCCTTTGCAGAAAGTTCTAGGATGGATGAAGATATAAAGAGTTTAACACATGCAGAGACCCCCAGTCCCTCCAGAGGTCCTTCAGCTTCCTGTCCCAGAGCTCCTGATCAGGGACCGGGGGCTGTGGTGTGGGTCAGTTGGAGGGACAGTTGTAGCTGTTGATCCACAGCAGGTCGTCCAGGACGCCCCAGTGCAGGTAAAGAATGGAGCCAACCACCAGTACATGCATGATCTGGTGGCTGTTGCACCAGTAGTCGAAGAGCCCAGGCCGGAAACGCTCCGGTATGCGAGTGATGTTGATGACCCCGCCCAGCACGGCCAACGCGTCCATCATGAGGAAGTGGCGAAGCGAGGTGGGGCTGCCGCCACCAACGCCCACCCAGCGGAGCAGGAAGAAGGAGAAGCGAAACACGGCCTGCCAGGCGAAGGAGCGCAGCCGGCGCACGCTGCTCCGAGCCGTGACGGCACAGTAGATGGCGTGAGTGGAGAGCAGGATGTAGACGAGTAGAGACACTGTGCGGATGAAGGGGTAGCACCACAGCGTGATGTAGACGATAGGGAGCGCACCTGGCGAGGGAAGAGAAATAAAGAAAGTAAGAAAGTAAGAAAACGGAGAGGCACATGGATGGATGGATGGATGGATGGATGGATGGATGGATGGATGGATGGATGGATGGATGGATGGATGGATGGATGGATGGATGGATGGATGGATGGATGGATGGGTGGTTCTATGGATTGATGAATGGATCAAAATAAAAATTTTGTCTTGACTTTTGTTAGTTTTTCCAAGGCACTAAGGCTCACCAAGTAATCTAGGTCACATTAACTTTCTTGTTAAAAATGACAGGTCAGGCTGAATTACTCAACACTGATGAGGTTTGGTTGATTTTAGAAACCTTGATTCTGCTGGTGAAATTACAAAAAAGCATTTTTTCATGTTGTCATGGTTGCGCTGTGTGACTTCATTCAGATGACCCCGTTTTAAACCACCTGCAGCCCCTCCTCCACCATCCTAGCTAAAACTTTAGAGTGTCATTCCTCCTAGACTCTTACTGCATTCTGCGTCTCATTTCGACCGATCCAGCAGAAGACCGCCTTGTTGGGCCCGGTTCTGCCAGAGGTTTTTTCCCAACTGGGAGTTTTTCCCCTTCACTGTTGCTACATGGTTGCTCATCATGGACAGGATCTCAACCTGTGTTGGATAACACACTGGACTTCCATCTTCCAGGTCCCCGAGTGAAGCTCTAGTATCAGCTCACGCAGTCCACTGGATCTACCCTCAAAGCTCAGCATACCATCTCACTAACCACCAGTTTCAGGCCTGAGGGGGAAACAGCCCTATTCTTTGCTCCTGTTCATGCATATCTATCAAAATTCAGCGCTATGTCTCCTGTATCAATAAATTTCTTCTAATTGTCTTTTCTCTTCGAGTGAGTTTTTCACATTGAAATACACACAGATAAAAAGACAACCGGAATGTGCGTTCGGTTAACTTTAGCTGTAAACGACCGTAAATAATCACGTCAGTTTATAGCCATCTGTGGGGAAAGAGGGAGTAAATCCAACACTGAAAGTAAATTATGGGGATTTGAAACCAACAGTTTATGTTTTAATGGAAAATGTTGCTGCTTGCTAAACTCTTATGACTGTGTTGAACTTGACTGAGTGGGGCACATTTGTCTCTGCTTTGCTTGGAATGTCATCTGCCAGAGCTGGTTCTGCAGCTGCAACATACAGATGGAGACATCCTGTTACCAAGAATCTTTGGTAAATATTTTTCTGTATTTTTCTTGTATAAGAACACATCTTCGAACTCTGCTCTCATCTCTTATCAGGTACTTTAATAAACCTGAGTGATTTTTACCATGACAGTGCTTGGATAATCTTATTTATCCACCACACCTAACAACTCCTGGATGGATCATTAACAGTTTTTTAGCGATGAGGCACTGCTGTGTGTGGTTTATAACAGTTTGGAACAAGCTTCTCAGGCATTAATTTTTAAATAAACTGTTATAAATCCTGTTTTAAGGGATTCTCATTTAAACCGACTAAGTAAACAAATCCTGTGAAATGATCACTAATTTTGGGTAGAACAACTTGTTTACGTGGTAGCTCCTCTTTTCTCCCCTTATTATACTTATCAGCAAAATCCCGCAACAGCGACTTTTCTTGGACTTTGCAGCGTCTATATGCAAGTTATAAAGTGCGGTTTCGGTGACGTAATAATCATTAACAGTTTTATGGATCAAAATCCCAACTTTTATCTGTGGCAACAGGCGCCCTGCTCCTACCTGGACACATGTACAGCGAGAGAAGCTACACTCAGCATCTAATGCTGTAATGTTCCTGCTCTGTGGGGGGTTTCACATAAAAGCAGCATTATAATGCATGAAAAAATACAACTCACATCAGTTTAGATCCCCTTTTGCCTTCAAAGCTGTTTAAACAAAAATCTGTTTTTTTTTTTCTGTATTTGAGCTTTAAAAAAGTGCAAAACTTGCAGATTTTTTTGTCGGAAAACCATCAATCGATCAAAAATTTTTTATTAATGGCCGTCATACAAAGATATGTCTTTTAAAAAGATGGTATATACTCTTTATGACTTTTTAAAAAGTAAAACTGAAACGAAAAAAGTTCTAAGACATAAAAAAGACATGTTATAAACTAAACTACTAAAATAGAGACTTAAAAGATGTGAGTTTCGTTTGCTTTTAGAAAAATCCTCCAACTCCATCACTCCATCCAAGGTCACACTGTATTTTTTATTTCGTATAACTGTTTAAACTGTGAAAGACGTTAAATGTGGTCTACCTTTCAATTTGTGCTCAGCAACTTTACCTAATAATAAATAAACTCTGTCAATAAAGTTGTGTGATAAATTATGAATGTATTGGAATCAGTACAAGTAAAGCAATTGATTTCCATTGAAAATGAACTAATAATAAAGCACTTGTCAGCTTTAATTCCACCATAATAATACAGAGAATATCGAAGGATAACCAATCATCGAAAACTGTTGGCTTATTCCTTTTACAAGCGCCAGCGACTGTGGAGAAATGTGCTCTGAGAAATCAATACAGCTACGCCTCAAAGCAAAACAGCTGCAATGTAAGTCATCAGCAGCCAATAAAGCAACAATAAACCCAGAAGGCGAACAGCAGCAATAAAAGAAAGACAGCTGATGAAATGAGTTCAGTGGGGGGGGGGGGTTTACCCAGCGTGTTGATCATGCAGATTCCACAGACGTCCAGCTTCAGGAGGGTGTGGTAGACGGGCTCCCCTCCCTCGTGGTTCATAAACAGGTGGTAGACCACGGAGCCCAGCTGGGGCGACAGGCAGGCCAGGAAGTGCACCACGCCCAGCCAGGTGACGCTGATCTGAGACCAGGGGATGTTGAGCGGCAGCAGCACCAGGAAGCAAACCAAAGGGATGCCTGGAAAATAGAAAAATAAAACATGACATAAAACAAATGAAAGGCTGCCCATCATAGACAATTGGAGGTTTGCTTCTGCTTTGTGAAGGAATTACACAGATGTGTCCTTCTGAGTGTTCATTTAGAGAATGACCTGGAATACGGCCAGAGGGAATGCCCACGCTGGCACCAGAAGCATCCAGTTAAAAAATAACACAGCAGCTCTGGCAGAACCAAATTAGTGTGTCACGTTTGCCGTGACGGATTATCTGGCTCAGGACTTTGGGAGCCTGAGGACGCTGTTCCTGGGAGTGAAGAGGATGAGAGGCTTTGAGGGGCCTCGAATGTGCTGAGTGAGTGCACACACCAGCAAGACAAGCCGTGGGGGGAGACCATGTATCAGCGAGGCGCCCTGAGGGAAAAACACTAAGAGCTCATAATGCAGCCGAAGGTCATTCTGCTACTTACACAGGTTCTCTCATCGGCTAAAAGGTCCCTGCTACCCTCCAGTCAGCTGGGTTACAACATTTACTGCTTCCCCAATGCTCGATATGTAGACAACCTTTTTTTATTTGACTTTTAATCAGTTTCTTAAATATGTTGAGTTAATAGGAGGAAAAACTTTTCCTTATTCTATACTGAGAGACTAACTCTGTAATAAGCTACACTCACAGCATCTCACAGGTAAACTACTTTGACAATCGCAAACTGCAATTTATTTCCTTAGGATGTTCGTGCTACAAAAATGCATGAAGTCATTCTATCTTTTTATCAAGTTTAAATCTGAGTGTCAAACATTTATATTCAGTCTATCTGTTAATAGCTTTATTCCGTTGAAGACCTGTAGATTGAAATTAAAGATGGTAGCTGCAACTTTTTAATTAAAATAATTATTTAAAAAACAATACTTCCATAGAATGTCTAAAGTGGTGCGTAATAGAAGTATCACTTTCGACCAAAAAAATAGTATTTAAGTAATTGTTGTATAAGTTCTGACAAATCCAAAATATGGAAATATTTACTTTTTGTAATGATGCCAACATTGACCTGAAAGGATTTGGTAACAATATGAATAGTAGTTTTTTTCTTTGCATCGCATTTCTAACAGTAAAGCAACAAAATAAATAAATATTGAAAAAAGAAGCAAAATGGGGATCATTGGTCAAGCTTTAAAGCATTGGTATTTCACATTATTCTACATTTGGAAATAAAAAATATAAACAATGAGCCTCCTGAGCATGTTTTGCTGTTTGTGCAGGAAAATTCATCTTAAATTAGGCAGACAGCCTTCATCAAAAACCTCCTTATTCAGCCTTCCTTTGGAAGAGCTGTTTTGACTTTCCACGTCTCTGTAATCCCGAAGGTTGTGTCCCTAAAACCGGCAACCATGACAACAAATCAAAGTTCGTAAAGATATCCTAGGCACATAGAATAATACATTACATGAAGGTTGACTGATGGGCTGCTACGGAGAAAGTGCTCTGGACAGTTTATTTCCCCTTATGACATCATTAGGGGAATGCTTTTCAAACAGAGCATTTTGAGTGCACATTAGCTAAGAGGTGGAGAAAGGCGATGATAGGGTTTTTTTTCCCTTGTGAATATCATACACAGGCTTCAGGACACATGTGACTGTTACAAAATGTTTACAAAGTGAATTTAACATAATATGGGACTTTCAAGTAAACAAACTGTGCACCACTAACTGGCAGTGAGGACTTAAACTTTGTTACCTTTGAGCTGGTTTTATCTAAAAAGTGTCTTAATGACAATAAAATGGATGAAAAGTGTCTGTGGTTACAACAATTTAAATACATGCCACAGATTCACAAATGGATTTCAGTCTGGCCTTTGACTAGGACATACTGACACATAGATATGGTTTATTTAAATGATTCTGCTGTAACGGTTGCATTTTTTGGGTCGTAGTCATGCCAGAAAGGTGAACCAAATCTTTTTTAGTCTCTTAATAGATTTTGTTCAGAATTTCCCCTGCATTTACATGCACCCTTCTGCTCACAAACTTTTTTTTCCCCAGCTTTTTATTGTCACAAGTACAGAGCAACGAAATGAACTCTGCATTTAACCCATACCCTTAGGGAGCAGTGGGTTGCAGTTGTGTGGCCCCCGGAAAGCAGTGTAGGGTTAAGCGCTTTTACTGAGGATGCCAGAGTGTCAGTCCGTGGGAGTGGGACTTGAACTTAGAACCTCCAAGCACAATGCCCTAACTACTAGGCCACCACTTCCTCATATGCAATTCAATTCAGTTTATCTTTATAGCACCAATTTACAACACATCTCAAGGCACTCTACAGTTCACCAGATCATCCAGTAAAATTGATTCAAAGTTTTCTTTCTAAGGAAAACCAGTTGATTGCATCGACTCATTGACTTGAAGGCAATCCCTCACACTAAGCATGCTTGTAGCAACATTTGAGAGGAAAAACTCCCCTTTTAACAGGAAAAATACCTCCAGCAGAACCAGGCTCAGTGTGAGCGGCCATCTGCTGAGGCCGACTGGGGTTCAAGGAGACAGAAGAAGACATAGAAAAAGAAGCAGAGATACAAAAAGCAGCTGTAAAAGGCGGCCCAGTCCAGGAAACACACAGCCAGGCAGACGAGCTCCGAGCCAACTCCCATGTCAGAGGATGAAGAGACCACATGCAGCCAGTCACAGTTAGAGAAACAGGACTACACTGAAAAACACAACTCTGATCAGCATCAGAGCATAATGCTGCCGAAACAATGTTTGACCATTTCAAGGCACTGATATACCTCTCTATCAAATGACAGACAGGTGGACTGCATGTCTATAACTCCTGAAGGCAACTGAATGGCCTGGGATTTATTCAATGTTATTGATATACTAGTACACAGTATTTTTTTGATTTTTGTTATTGGTACAAAATGTTATATAACCATCATGGGAGAAAATATTTTTTTAGAGAGTTATAAAATACTTTGTGCTGCTCTTTAACATAAAAGTAACCAACCAGCTTTTGCCAGGCAGAATCCCAGCTGCTTTTTGTCTTTGTGCTCACTCTGCCCTTTTCAAAGTCGAAGCATTCGTCCTGAGCAGGTGATACAGTGAATGCTGTTCACTCCAGGATCTATTTTAGGTTTGTTATCTCCTCCCTTCCCCCCATCCCGTCCGAGCCGACCAACTGAACTTAGGCGTGGACAGAGTGGGGAGGACCTCCTTCTGAACGCCTACAGCAAAGAAATGTGTCTGAGGCCTGACCAAAGGGCAGGAGGCTTTCAGTTCCCATGCAAAGCAGGCTTAGGCAGGACCAAACGTAGCTCAAATATCACCTGCAACCAAATCTGCATCGACAGGTAGATGAAAGCCACAAAGCCTTAAATGATCTGTGATTATCACAGCAGAGATGAGGTCAGCCGGGGCATCTCTTTATGATAGGACTGCTGTTTAATCTGTGATGCTGGAACACCACGAGCTGATGACCTTCAGAACGAGGAAGCTGCGACAGTTTAAGCCGGCGAACGGGGAAATGAACTGACCAGGGCGCATGTTATTAAGAGAGAATAGACGACACAGGAGATTCTACTTAAGAAAAACAAGAGCTGTGTTATTTACTCCTTATTGGGCAACACTGAAAACAATAAACAGATGGATAAAACGATGAGACGTGATCTGGTTGCAGAGATTAACGCATTATTGAAATTAATTTCAGCCTAAAAGAAACTAAAAAAAGAAGAGCATATTGTGTAACTGTGACATTTAGGACCTTATGTAAAAGCCACTTCAGGTAATTTTCACAAACCTTGTTTCATTTCAACAAGTTAAACTTTTCTACATTAAAACCCTCAAATAGATCATATCTAAAGTCTGGACAGGTTTTTTGAAAATTACCAATATAGGCCAAATTCTCTTTTGAGTTTGTGCATGTTAAAGTCAGGTGCATTGACAATATATGAAAAACATTAAGGAATAATGTGTTTGCATGTGGAAAACCCTATAAACTCAGAAAATATAACTATTACACAATAATACCAATTTTTGAATAAATTTGGAAGTAAAAGGGCTGATAAATAAAATTACAAAACATGAAAATTACAAACATTTAAAATATTTACTGATTATAGTATGAATAAAATAAATATTTAACTTGTCTTTGGCTAAAAACTGCTTAATGAATCTTTAAAAAGATTAACGATTTTTAATCATTCCTATCAGATTAGAGGTTATTTTTTGAAGTAAAAAAAAAGAACGTTTTGAAACAGTAGACATAAAGACGGGAGCTAACTTAGAATCAGGAATATATTTGTAAAGCATACTTCTCGTTTTGTCCCTATATTTATGTTATAAATGCGTTTCTAAACACACTCCTTTATCATATTCTATATATATCACAGGTCAATAAGCCATGCCATTCATTTTGCTTTATGTTTACTCTTCTTCAGCAGTTTCAGTACTTATAAGCTCTCTGCACGGTGACAAGCTTAATGGAAAGGAACTAAACAGAAGCAATCTTTATTTTTCCTTGAGTGATTTTGCAAAACAGCAGAGAAGTTAACTTGTTAAAGAGAACTTTGTTGGAGGAGTCTTGGTCCAGTGGGTTAGAGCAGTGCGCTGTGTTCTGAGTGGGCTTAAGTACCCGGTTTGATCCCCACACCCTCCACTCGAAACAAAACGCAAAACCCTAAATGTGAGATAAATAAAGCTCAATTATCCTTATTATTATTAACCTATTCAGTTAATTGGAAGCCTTGATTGTTATTAAGCCTTCCAGGTGGAAGGATCTGTGATAACGCTCCATTGTGTCTTTAAAATGCAGCATTCTGTCACTGAATGAGCCACATGCATGGCTTTAAAAACACATTCCAATAGTGATATTTTTTTGTCAGTCCTTCCGTCTTCCAGGACCTGCACTGTGTTGATGGTGCCTCCAAGCACAGAGCTGGCCTCCATGATAAGCTACTCTAACCCCTTCCTCTCAGCTGAAGATAAGCTGCTGCTCCATAAAACACCATAAATGAGGGCTGAAAAAAAAAATCTAAGTTTACATAGCAAGTACAGATATATAATCACACTATAGTGGAAATTCCGTCATGCATTTAAGACAATTTATTATGACTGGAATAAAAGTACGTTATTTAAGATGAAATCCGTGAAATATAGGAACATATTTATCACATGAAAATGTATATTATGGGCTGCTCAGAGGTGCGGTGGGTAGCACTGCTGCCTTGCAGCAAGAAGGTTGCGGGTGTCTGCATGGAGTTTGCATGTTCTCCCTGTGAATGCATGGTTCTCTCCGGGTACTCCGGCTTCCTCCCACAATCCAAAAACATGACTGTTAGGTTAATTAGCTTCTCTCGTATGTCTCTTGTATGGTTGTATGTCCTGATTGTCTCTGTGTTGCCCTGCAATGGACTGGCAACCTGTCTAGGGTGTCACGCCTGTCGCCCGTGGAAAGCTGGAGATAGGCACCAGCACCCCTCGCGACCCCACTTGGGATTAAGCGTGTCAGAAAATGGATGAAAATATAGATTAGGTCTGACACTTAAGGTGGAAGCATAAATTAATGATGATATGAACACTCCTGGCTGCTCAGTGGGGCAGTGGGTAGCTCTGCTGCCTTGCAGCAAGAGGGGTCTGGGTTTGATTCCCTGCCCAGGTTCTTTCTGCATGGAGTTTGCATGTTCTCCCTGATCATGCGTGGGTTCTCTCCAGGTACTCTGGCTTCCTCCCACTGTCCAAAAACATGACTGTTAGGTTAATTGGCTTCTCTATAAAGTCCCCTTAGGTGTGAGTGTGTGTGTGAATGGTTGTCTGTCATGTTAGTCTCTGTGTTGCCCTGCGATGGACTAGCGACCTGTCTAGGGTGTACCCCGCCTCTCGCCCACTGACTGCTGGAGACCCCACTTGGGATAAGTGTGCTTGAAAATAGATGGAGGGATGGATGGATGAACACTCCCAGCGTCATTATGGTGGGTTTTATCAGCATGTCACTGAACGTTGCCTAGATTTGCATGTTTGCAGGTAAATAAAGCCTGAATGATAAAAATAATTTATTTGATGAAATCGTCTAATATGTGCCTTTAAAAAAAAAAAAAAAAAAAAAAAAAAAAAAAAGCTGAAACCTGCAGGCTGTGATCCAGCAGATCCAACCTCGACCACAAGAGGGTTTTATGCATAGCTTTAAGTAATCATCACACTGCAAAAACCATCTGGAAATAGGTTAAAAAAAATCTTAATTTACCCTTAATTTGAGTAGGTGAATAAGATAATTAAATAATATGCACTTGAAATAATAATTTTAATTGTAGAATGTCTTGTTCCTTTGGCAAAGTGTCTCACTTACCTCCTCAATTCAAGAATAAATGCACTTAATTAAGCAAAAATGACTTATTTCGATCCATTTTTTGCAGTGCATGCTGATTCATTTCACTCACCGTGTGTGTAAATGTTTCCAAGTTCATTGTGGAGGTAAAACAGGCTTCTGATGCAGTCCTGCACGGAGGAGATGGGCCGGTATCCTGTCAGGACGTATTTATTGAACTGAAGATGTGGCGGGGAGCTGGCCCAGTCCAGCAGCCTGGGTCCGTTTAGAAACGCCATGGCGAGCAGGAGCGCTAAAAGGACGCCGAACAGATAAAACACAGACTGCAGCCCAATGTACACGTTCAGCAGAATTGTTGCCACCAAAATCTTTTGGGATACCATTGGTATTGTTTGTTTTTTTTTTTATTTAGAGCTCACGTCAAGTCTCTGAACGCTACCCGGCAACGGTGCGTCCGCCGCGGCGCTGTTTGTTGTGAACCCCCTGTGCCCGTGCGATTCGCAGGGATGGAGGCAAACGGCCAACCATTTGCATGCTGAACGCTCCGGACTGTCATAACATTATTTGGCATCTATGACATGTAGGTGCAGCGCCTCGGCGAGCGAGGGGAGAGATGCGTCCGATCATCTTAAAGCCGCTGCTCGGCGGTTAATGAGCGGCGCTGCGGTGCGGCTGGAAGGATTCTCGGGCGGTGATGCTGTGAGAGCCGCTGCTCCATCCGACTCCAGGTGATGCTAGCTTGATTCCAGCGCTCAGATTCACAGCGGAGGACAAACAGGTTAGCGCTGTAGGTCAGTGAGGGACATTAAATGATCCTGAATGTCTTTAGTTGAGCTTTTAAAATCAGTGACTTCCAAACAGAGATTTTTGAAGGACGGCTTGGCGAGCCGGGCGGGCGGCTACCGACGTCTAGTGACAGGGGGCGAGAAAGCTGGTGTCTGAGCCGGCCGTTTCCGCATTGTCATAGCTCGGTCCTTCAGTTTAATTCCCTTCATCTTGTCTCTGATCCAGTTTTCTCCCAGCAGTGATTCCAGCCGACAGCATTCCTTAAAAAGCGGCTCCCTCCCCGTAGCCCGCTGCGACGACTCCTACAATCAAGCTAACATAAGTAACACTTCCGGCTTTGCTTTTCAAAATAAAGGACTAACTGTAGAACATGCCAGAAAAGGACATTTGGTGCAGCTGAATTCTTTCATGACACATTCGGTATCCATGCAGCAGGATCCTAGAAAGCATGCAAACAAAGATCCTACATGATCAAACAGCCTAACAGTCATTGAGGCCTGTGGGGCTATTGTGCTATTGTACATAACTGTAAAACAACCCTTTTTATAGTAATATCCACCTGTATATTATATTTGGTAATTATCCAGCTGTAAATTTAGTCCATAACAATAGTTATCTATATACTATATTCATCTACTAGTAAGATTATGTTTATAATGGTATTCATCTCTATGCTTATTCAGTAGAAACCCATGTCCTGTATTTATGGAACCATTATTTATCTTGCGCTTGCTGCTATAGCACTTCTGGTTAGACCTAAACTGCATTTCGTTGCCTTGTACCTGTACCTGCATAATGACAATAAAGTTGAATCTAATCTAAAAAAAAATTTCGAATCTTACTTAAGTGACATCAAATAGCCAAAACTAAATATTACAGCTTATATGAAATACCCAGAACCAAAAATATATCATGCAATTTACAATACAAATGTTAAAGGGAAGAGCAGTTCCAGACAGGGGCCAACAGGAGCCAGTGCCACTGCAAACTTGTCCTAGCCCCTGATGTGGCGCCTTTACTGAAAACACTCACAGCAGAAGTTTAAGTATAAGTAAGTCGATTTTTCTCACAGTAATTGTATTTTCCTTTAATTTAAGCATGTAAGACCATTTTCAGATGGAATAAGAGTATTTTTTTTTTTAAGCAATTTAAAAAAATCTCCATTATCCTATCTAATTATCTTATTTTAAGAGCATTAATACTCATTTCTTTGGCAGATCAGCTTATTTACTTTCTCACATTAAGAGCGAAACTACTTAATTTAAGAATATTGTTACTTTTTTTTAGATCTGTTAGATCAGTGTGAGTCAACTTTAAGCTTCAGTCATTCTAAAATAGGATTACAGTTTTTTTCTGTTAGATTAGAAGTCTGCGACCTTAGCTTTGTGGCTCACTTAATATAATAAACAATGTGCTCTTTCTCTAATAGTTATATGTGCATATTATTGTGTTATTCTTTTGTACTTTGCCCCCATGAAAAACAAGAATCTGTAAATATATTAGTTCAGAATCCCTGCACAATTTGTAGAAATTTTTTTTGTTGCTTTTAATTAATGAAACAAATGAACATTTAATTATGCTGTACACTATCAACAGCACTTGTCTGGAAAAGTACACTACCGGTATATATAATCTAAAAAGAGATTAAGAAAAACTTATTTATATTAAGAAAACACAAAAGCAAATTTTAAAAGCTAAAAAGCTAACCAAACTAGAACGCTATTGATATGCTGAGATATTGATGTAAAGGCCTACCATTATAAGCTATTTTATTTTTATATTTATTAAGTTTTTTGAAATTTTACTTCTTTTAAAAGCAGCAACTGGTGGATTTTAATTCTCTAGAAAAAAAGCCAATGTTGAAGAGTATGATGCATCAGACCACCTCTCACCTCCTTCGGTTTCCCAGACCAGATGACTAGCACAAGATCCCCCGCTGAAATGGACAGCACAAATGTTGCATATTAGTCAGATGTGGCCAGGCTTCCACTGTGGCTTGTGTTTCTAAAGTATCTTCACAGACTCATTTCTTTAAACAGAAGAAATAATTAATAAACGTTGCTTCAATGGTTTAGGTGGTATAATCATTTATTTTTTGCCATTTATCTTTCCTCTGTTGTTTTACTAAAAGTAAGTTTCTTTTGCATTAATATGTGCATTATAATTTTTTTTTTTTTCAAGAGTAAGAACGTTGTGGTTTTTACTTGAAAAATGTGGCCGCTTCTTCCTGCTGCTTAAAAAAAACTTTTTTGTTCTGTGGTCAGTAATTTTAACTATGTGAAAAAATACTTTATCATTTTAGTTATTCATTTAATACTTTTGCTAATCTGTCTTCTGTTACAAGCATGGATGTGTGACAACAAGGTGGTGGGTTTTCACATTAATCAGTCACACATGAAGTGAGTGACTAATCAACTTCTTTTTGAAAAAGTCTGGTCCAAAGACAATAACTTTTATTTTGTCTGAATTCGAAGAAAAAATATAGTCATCCAGGTTTATATGTCATAAAGACACGCCTGCAGTCTAATAAGTAACAGGTCTGCATAATCCAAACTGGGAAGAAAGTTTTCCCCAAAAAGTTTGCCAATATCAACATATCTATAGAAACACCACCTAGACAACCAGCAATGGAATGATGACATGCAAATGAATATGAAATCATTGGTCAGATCAGGGCTGCGCAGTGACATAGTGGGTAGCAAGAAGATCTGGGTTCCAATTCCGGCCCTGCCTCTTTTTACATGGAGTTTGCATGTTCTCCCTGAGCATGCGTGTGTTTTCTCCGGGTACTCTGGCTTCCTCCCACACTCCAAAAACATGACTTTTAGGTTTATTTGTTTCTCTAAATTCCCCTTAGGTGTGCATGTGAATGGTTGTGGCTCTGCGATGGACAGGCGACCTGTCCAGGGTGTACCCCGCCTTTCGGCCATTGACAACTGAAGATGCGCACCAGCACCCCTCATGACCCCGCTTGGGATATGCGTGACAGAACTGGATAGATGGATGGTCAGATCAGGTCAAATACAGAAAACACAGCAATTAACATTATAACATTAGAGATGAAAAATACAAAATTCAGGTTATCTTTAGTGCTAGTTTTTGTATTTTATGGGGGAGAAGGGAAAGATACGTCTTATATGTAATGTAATGTATGTATTAATTTTATGTTGTTCATATCATTAATAAAGATATAAGAGACAATGTTTCCGGAAATGTAGGTAAGAAGCACACATGTACCCTTTTGTATAACTGCACATGAGCAAATGTGCTCTGGTCTTTTTTTTCTTCTGAAGCCTTCCTCTTCCTCTCATAAACTTTGAATTCCGTTGCTTCTTGCGTCTCTTGGCCCTTTCAAAGTACGGTATACAATGAAAGAAGTGGAAATAGCAGCACTAAGCAGCGATGTAAATTGCAAATACTGTCGATCAGGCTCGGACTGGGAACGTTTTTCGGCCCTGGCATTTTTCCATCTACACCGACCCGCTTATGGAGCGCCCTGTGCATCTAAAATGTGAAACACAATACGAATACACATTGTGGATTAACCAATCTATCTTCAAGCATCACACAACAACCATCACCAAGACTTGTATGATGCGGTCGGTTGCAAGATGTCACTGACTCATGTTTTCTAGCCCAAAAAATGTTCATAAACCACCTGGATATGTGAAATCTTACCCAATTTCAACCAAAGTCTATTTATCTCTTAGGCCATAAATCTAAAGAAAAAAATGTTTTACCCATAGATGGCCATCCTAAACTGCCAGATTGGGAAACATCCCAACCTGGCAACAATGCACGTAAGACGGGAAACGTTATCCTATAGATGCAAAACCCCATCATGCACCACAACATATTTTTTCAAAATATTCAAACATAAATTTGCCAAATATAAGTGGAATATCGTAGTTTGGTTTAGAGAAAGCATTTCAGTTTTATTATAATTTAGTTTGTTGTAAGGACTTTACAGTTTTAAGAAATAGGTTTTTACATAGGTTTTTATATACTGCATGCATCATTTAAGTAGTTAACATTGTATTATTTCTTTAGCTCCTTAAGTTAATTACTGTCACTGGTAGGTGCTTCGGCCAGAGAGTAAATGTAGGAGCCGGTATGATTAATTAAGGAGGGCCGGCCCTCGCTCGCGGAGATAAGGACCGGCCCACCCAATGATGCTATCTTTGTTGTCATATCAATAAAAACATTTTAAAAACGTTTCTTCTACATTGTTTATTTTTACCTTCTAATCAAAATAAACTGCAGGAGAATCCTAGGTGGGAATCTGCAAGGAAAAAAGCGAGTGTAGATTAATCGATTGAACGTTTTATTAATAAATGGATGAGCAGACAGGCAGATGGGATGTTCCAGTGCTAAGAAAGTTAGGGCTAAAAAAAAAGATATCTGACTGTAGTGTTTGGCAGACCACTCATTAACAAACTAGAAATCAGCAATGATAAAAATTGGAGCAAACATTTACTTAGAAAAAGCTAGGTAACTTTTTCCATATAGAAATTCTTTGTAAATTTCACTCAATAAAAATCGAAGTTGATTTTAAGCTTTTTGAGCTTTTGTAAAGTCAAATTGAGGTCATATATATACTGGAGTGTGTATTTTACCTGGGTTTTTTGGTCTATATACCAACTAGTTTTTGGAAATTGTAACAGCATTTACTAGTCATTAACTATTTTAGTCATTCTTTCAGTTAGATGACTCAAACTGAAACACCAAAGCCAATCTACTACATGTGTTTATATGTCTCACAGGTACATGATCTTAAACTCCCAGAAAAAGACACACAAGAAAACCTGTAGGAGTTTGTTTTTTTTGCCGATAAACATTTATTATTGCAGATTATTTGACAGGAAAACAGTTTGAGTGATGATAACCATCATTCTTTCATCCTGCTTAGATTTTCCATTGAAGTATGCAGCTCTCATTGCCTCAGACCTCAGATGTGGTAAAACAAAATAGTTGCATTGGTTCTTTTGATTTTGAATATAGTAAATTTACATCTGATGGGCTTTTGATGGATGAGATTAACAGTTTGACGCTGCTTTCCATAGCCAAATGAAGTTGTGTTTATTTTTTTTATGCTTTTTTCTTCTTAAATGTTGGTGATGATTAAAACCTGATATTGATATTTTATTAACTCATCTGCCTTACCTGTTACTGGACTTAATGAGTGAAAAGTGCATCTCTCTTTAAACTGGCCTTAATGCAGACTGGGGTATGATTCTGATCTCCACGGTGAATTGGAATTGCAGAATTTGAGGATTTGGACACATTGCATTTGG